CTCCGAGGCAGGGGGGTGTCCCCGGTGCGGCCCCGAGGTTGGCACCACACAGGGCCACTTGGGGAGCCCTCTTAGCTCACAGGACCCCTGGGCCGGAGCCTGATGCCCCTCCCGCTGCGCTCCTGGCCACGCCCTCCTCCACGGAGAGTGCACGGGACCCCTCCGACCTCTCCGATGGCTGTCCTGCAGGCCTCGGTGCCCGGATATGGGTTTGTGCCCCCTTCCCCCCACCCCTCCCTGGAGAGCAGCTCCCCGCCCACCCTCCCTTCGCCACCTTCCCCTGCTCCCCCCATCCTGCCCTCAGCCCGGGGGGTCCCCTGCCTCCATGCAGAGGGTCAGTCCCACTCCGGGCCTGTTGCCCTCTGGGCTCCGCCCGTGCACTGGCCGCCCCCACTCAGCCCCGTGGCAGCCGCACCAGAGACCCGCCCACCTGGTCCCCCCGTCCGGGCGCCTTGCTCCGCCTGCCCACCAGGCCACCCATTTGCTGTGTGTATCCCGGCCCTGATCTCCTACCTCCCACTTCCTGCCAGCCCACAGCGCAAGGGCCGTGACAGGAATGGATGTGTGTTCGTGTCCCCCCAAATTCATCCATCAGAGCCCCAGAGGGATGGTGTGAGGTCCTGGGGCCTTGGGAGGTGTGTGCGGTTAGCTGGGTGCTCATGATGGGGTCAGTGCCCGTATAAGAAGAAGAAGACACCAGAGCCCTCTCCTCAACACTTGACATAGTGAAGAGGCAGTTATCTGCAAACCAGGAATGGGGACCTCCCCGGAATTCGCCAGGTCGGCGCGCTGAGCCGTGAGAATCAATGTCCATCGCGGGCGCCCGTGCGGTGCGGTCTGTGGCGCTCTGTCAGACAGCCCGAGCTGAGGCAGTGGCCTCCATACCTTCCCCTCTGAGCTTGTCGCCCCTCCGTCCCCCACCTGACCTGCACCCCGCACGACCCCTCCCCAGGTGTTGCCGCTGGACTCACTGAGGAGCAGCAGGGTCTTAGAGGTCCGGCCGGCCCGGCCCAGGCGCAAGTAGACCACACCGTAGCTGTAGTCGGTGGACAGCACGTGGAAGCCCTCTACCCCCTTCACTGGACCGGAAGAGAAGCGTGGGACCACCCCATCAGGCCTGCACAGCAGGGGCAACTGGGAAGGGTCAGGAGTCCCTCCCACACACCCAACCACCTTCCAGGCCTAGGCTGCGGGCACTTGCATGCTTGTCGGCTCTGGGACCGTGGCCTGCCTTCCCGCCCTGTGGGCCGCTGTCCATCCCATCCACCCAGCCCTGGGACACTGGAGCGGCATCTCCCAGGCCTGTGGCCGTGAAGCTGGGGACACGCCCACCCCCAGGTCTTTCTCTCCAGGCCCGGGCCTTCATACGCACAAGTATTCCTGAACATCGCCTTTTTCCTATCTTTCCGCAGAATTAACGTGTGTGACTGGCACCCCTGTGACCTGGGGAGGGGGCAAGGCGGGAGCCCTTTGTTGGCTCTGGTTTCCTGGAATTTTCCAGTTTGGTGCAGGGTCAGTCCCACAGCTTAAGGGAAACCCTCGGAACACCCACTCTCTGCCGAGTGCTCCCGTGTATGTGGTGGCCTCTCCCAAACTCAGGCCTTAAATTTTAGGGGCAGGAAGGGTTTTAGGGCCACAGAGATGGTCCGTCAGATGTGCAGGTGATCGTGGGTCTGGCTCCCCCCGCCCCCGGCTCTCTTTCCCCTCTTGACGGGGAGATGTCTGGGCTGCTTGTGGTCAGGGCTCCGTGAAGAGTGTGCTGGGCCCCCTCCCCGGTCCACTCACCGGCTGAATGCAAGGACCACCTTCAGCTGGCCCGCTTTGTGGACCTCCACCATCAGTGCCCCCAGCTTCCTCCTGTCTCTGCCTGGCAAGAATCTCTGGCCCTCAGAGGCGACAGCCAGAATGTACCAGAACCCTGAAACCTGTGGAGATCGTGCTGGCGTAGCTGCCCATGCCAGGCTCCCAGCCGGGCCCCCAGGAACCCACCGGACACTGACATTGGCCTGAGGCCTGGGCCGGGTCCAGCACCAAAAGGCCGGCACAGCTCCAGCGTAGGGCCCTGGCTGCCCCTCTGGGTCTTGGTGAGCAGATGTTGGGCGGGCTGGGGCCCCAAGGGCTGGGCCGTGGTTACCGTGTGCTGGAATTCCCTTCCTGTGCAAGGCCTCCCCCTTCCTTCCAGCTCAGTCCTCGGCCCCATCCCTCTGACTTCCTGCCACAAACCCACATTCCCGGGCAGTCATTTCCCATGGCCACCCCCGCTAGAACCTTCCACCTGCCAGCCATCTGGTTATTCCGGAACACGCTCTGCTCATTCGGCCTCTGCCCACCTAGCATCTCCAGTGCCCTGAGGCTGCACCTGCCTGGAGCCCTTAGCCCTCCCCCCTCTTGCGTGGCCACCAGCTCCTCAGAGAGAGGCCAGGGCCTGAAACTCCTTCCGCCCTCGTGGCACTGCCCCCTGTTCCAGGATGGCCCTTTGGAGATTTTCAGGGAGTGATCTTCCAGCCACCACACACTCTGTCCCTGGCCCCGGTCGGCCTGGCTGTCAGCCTTGGGGACCGCAGGTGTGTGGCTCACCTTGTTCCAGTTGAGGTTGTGGGACTCCCTGGGTAGCTGTTCCTGTGGCCGCGACCCCGTAGCCGGCATAAGCGCCAAGACCAGCACACACGTCAGCCTCCCTGGTCCCATTGTCACCCTCCTTCCTCGGCCACCGGGGCACTGAGTTTAAGTCTCCCCACCCACCTGACCCTGCCGTGGGCGTCCAGCCAACCCGGAGCCTTGAGCCAGCCTGGGGTGGGTCAATGGGGAGGGAGAGGGGCTTTGGGACACAGGCGGGCGGCCCAGGGGCTCGGCCTGGCGGGTGCTGCCTGAATTTGGAGGCCATCGTGTTCCCCTGTGAGACCCCTGGGCCTCCCATCCTAGCCCCCACGGAAGAGAGGCAAGCAGCCCGGAGGCGTCCCTGTGAGTCACTTCATAGAGGTATTTGCACGTGAGAAGCAGGACCACGGTGACGATGGGGCACGGACGGCACCAGCGTGACAGCAGGGCTCTCCGTCCCGAGCAGGAGCTGATGGACAGGGCTGCTGGATGTGTGTGAGCGTGCCCACCCCTAGCCTGCACGCACCGCCCCTCTCCGTGAGTGATGGGCAGCCCCCAGCCCAGCTTCCACCACGACGTCAGGCGCGGCCCCACCAGACCACAGGAGGAGCCACAGGCTCGGGCCCTCTGGAATCCTGCCCCCTGCCCTGGCCCAAAGCTCCAGGCCTGGGAAAGCCACATTCTTGTGCCCTGGACACTGTGGCTCCCCAGCTGTGCACCCTGGTGGGCACCCACGCCCACTGCGTCAGCCCGCTCCTGTCCAGACCCCCGAGGGTCTCCTCTAACTCAGACCGACAGTCCTCCCTCCAGCCCAGGGACTGTGGTGACCTCTGCTTGCAGAGCAGCTGCCCCCAGCCCAGCCCCCACTCAGGAGCCAAGACCCACGTCCACGTGTACCCCACCCAGAGCTGGTTCTGGGCTGTAAGGCCCAGCCCTCGGTGAGCCCCACGCCCACCTCCTCCCCCTGCACCGACCGGAGCCCCGAGAGGGCAGCGCCCCGTCTGACATTGCCGTCCGCCCTCGGCACACAGGTGAGAGGCATCTGTAGGGCCTTGTGGGGTCGTTTTATTTGGAACTGCCGTGAGTCCTGAGAGCAGCCCGCCCCACACCAAGCTCCCAGGTGGCTGAGCAAGGAGGCCAGCGCCTGGCCAGCCTCACAGGACTCAGCGGGCACAGTCCCACCGGGAGGTCGATGCATTCACTGAAAACCAAGAAGAGCGTTGCGGGACCCCAGATTCACCTCGAGGGGTGTCAGCCCCGTCCCGGGCCCCGGGCCTTCTCGGGGCAGAGCTCTGGGGTGTAGGATCTGGGGTGATGCTCAGGAAGGCAGCTTACCTGGAAAGCCTTGTGCGCACAGATGACTGGGGGGGAAAGAGGAGTTCTGAGGGTGGGCACCCAGGATACACCGCAGCCACCCCACTCTGCCCACGGCCTCGCCCGAGATGGGGCCGGGCCTGCAGGCCTGACTTTGGGCAGGAGCAGGTGACTCCATGTAGAGCTCCCCACCCCCACCCGGCCTGACTCCCTGAGGCTCGGAGGGACCCCGAGACCCACAGAAGTCAGCTAGGGGCCCGTGGGCATCGGGTGACACTCACGGTCTGGGAGCAGCGTGGCCTGCTGCTGAGACAGGAAGCCCAGGACTTGCTCCACCTAGCAAAGAAGCGCAGGGCCTCCTGGCTGGCCAGCTTTGTCCATCCTGTGGGGTGGGAGGGGAGCCCTCACCACGTGTGCCCCATACCCCAGCCACCCCTCCTGCAGGGGGTCGAAGGGCAGGGATGCTGCTCTGGGACCCTGGAGGCCCGGGGCTCAGCACAGTCAGCAGGAGGTTGCCCAGCGTGGCCGCCCGTGGCAGGGAGTTCGTGGGGCCGGCCCTTGGTGTCCACCACTTCCTGTACAGCTCCACGGTGTTGAACGCCTCGTCCTTGAACTCCAGCTGGGTGAACACAATGGCGTAGCCCCGGAAGTTGGTGCCCAGCCCCTGGTAGTCCAACACTCCCAGGGCTAGGATATACGTGCGCCCTCAGGGGGAGCATCAGACCTCACGAGAGGCTCCCCCGGGAAGCTGAGCGCTCCCGAGCATTGTCCCCCGGTCCCCAGAGCCAGCACACAGAGGGCCTCAGGGACAGATGCCCGGTGAGTGCCTGTCCCAGCTCATGCCGGGGGGACACTCCACCGATCATGTCCCATCAGGGGCACCACCCCAGACGGAGGCCCGGGGTCACTGAAGGGCATGCCAGGGTGAGCCCTCTGTCTTCCAACCTCTGACAAAATGCGTCCTTTCACTTTCTAGTGGAAGTCTCGGGGATGGGTCCGTTCCCCATCCCACGGCATTGGCCAGGCGGCAGGGGAGGCCAGCCCAGGCTGCCGGTGGTGGAACCCACTGGGGAGGGCCCGGAAAGCCAGCCCATCCCCCACCGCCCCATGTCCCACGCCCCGCATGAGACCGTGGAGGCCGTCACCTTACAGGGGTTCTCAAACACCCATCCAGAGCTCTGTCTCAGCAGCTCCACCTCGTTCACATCACGCCTCTCCAGCCTGGAAGAGAGATTGTCTGTCCTCGGCTCAGGGTCCGGACTCAGGCCCAGAAGAGACAAGGGTCCTACCTACTGCACCTGGCCAGCCACCAGCGTGCCGCGCAGGGGATCCTGGCTGCCGGTGACGGCCCCCGTTGCCCGGAAGCCTTGTTCTGCACCGAATCCAACCTGGCCGGGGAATGAGCAGACACAAGAGCCCTGCAAAGTACAAATCAACTTGCTTCCACCTCCCAAGAGGCCTCGTGTGCTGGAAGCCACGTGACGGGCACAAAAGGAGCCTCGGACAAACACAGGGTCGTCTGCAATTTTGGGTAAAGGTACTCAGTATCCAAAGGGGCTGACGTCCCCGAAGCGGTCAGTCCATAAAGTGAACCAACCACAGAAATGCAGCGGTCTTTGCTCACTAAGATGAGCTCATGGCTGGGAAATTCCAGAAGGAAGAACAACAGGCAAGAGCCATCCAGTAAACTGAGGCAGTGGGGCACAAAGCTGCAAGAGGTGAAACAACGGGGTTTGGAAAATCAGAAGACTGATCAAAGGAATGGATGGGAAGTCCTGAAACAGGGGCGCCTGGGTGGCTCCGTACATCAGGCGTCCAACCTTTGGTTTTGGCTCAGGTTGTGATCTCGTGATCGTGAGACTGAGTCGGGCTCCGTGCTCAGCACACACTCTGCTTGAGATTCTCGACCCCTCCCTCCGCCCCTCCCACTCGTGCTCTCACTCTCTCGAGAATAAATAAATAAATCCTAAAAAAAAAAAGTCCAATAATAAAGCAAAATGGGAGCATGGGAATTTAGCACGTGACAAAGTCAGCCGGAGTCCGTGGAGGACAGAGAGGCAATTCGATAAATGACATTAGAAATTGGGTAGTGTTCTAGAAAAAACCAAGTTGTTCCTCCTTTCTTCCCAGGGTCAAATCCCAAATGCAGCAAAGATGCCAGAAGCACCAGGGAGTTGCAAGCCGTTTCCTAACTGACGGTGTCACAAAAGCCAGGAGCCCCGCAAAGAGAAAGCTAGTGTGCATCTACAGAAAAATGGAAAGAAATCCTTCATGTATGAAAAAAAAAAGTCCTCCTCAATGTTATAAGAAAAATGACAACCTGGGAAATATATTTGCAACTGGGTTCTGTCACAGACAAGCGCCTCATATTCCTAATCCTTAAGGGTTCTTACAAAGGAGGAAAAACACACCTCAGAGGAAAACATACCAGAGATGTGACCAGGCAGGGTGTTGGGCAGGGAGCACGTACGCTGCGACGCTCCCGTCCTTAGAAGGGGCGCGTAGAAGCTGAAGGGGGCCATCTGTTGCCTATCAGATGTCGTGGAAGCAAGAGCACAGGAATGCCGGGGCGCTGGTTCAGGGGCCCTGCCACGTGGGGACCTCTTGGAGGCGAGAGCACCAGGACCCACACCACAAAGGGTGTTTCCAGTTGCCGAAGATTGGAGAGCACTGTCTGTCAAGCAGCAGAGCCCGGCAGAAGGCCTGTGGCGTGTCACACAGCGATCAAAAAGAGCAGAGCGCCCCGGGAAATGCGAAAGGGAATCACCGTACGGCCCAGCGATCCCCCTGCAGGGCGCACACGCAGGAGAACAGAAGGGAGACTTGCACACCCATGTCCATGACAGCGCCATTGACGAACCAGACGGTGGAAGAAACCATGTGGCCTGTCCACACCATGGAACATAATTCAGCCTTAAAAAGGGAGGAAATCCCGACACCGGCTACAACGCGGATGAACGTGGAGGACACGGTGCCGAATGCGATCAGCCTGGTGCGCGGCGCAGAGACCGATCCCCAAGGATCCACTCCCCGGAGGCCCCGGAGGAGTCGGACCCACAGAAACAGGGGCGGGGGAGGGGAGGGGTCCGTGTTCAATGGAGACGGACGGAGGGGGTCGGCTGCACAACAGTGTGAATGTGCTTGACGCCCCTGAGCTGTGCGCTTAGACGTAGCGAGGACAGTAAATCTCTGCGCTGTGTTTATCTTCCTACCACTTTGAAAAATGTCATAAAGACAAAAGAGAACAAACTTTGAAATGTTTTAAAAGAGAGCAGAGCCTCTGTGGACTGATCGGAACAACCCCCGTGTGTGTGGGCAAATGACACACGGGTGCTGGTGTGTGCCTGCCCCCACGTCCCTAACACGGGCTACCCTCAGGGAGGAGACGGGCTGGCTGAGGCAGGTGGGGAAGGACCCCCACGGTACACCCTGGGGAACCCTGATTTTTAAGCCATGCAAATATCTTTACTGTCCAAAGGCCAACGAATGAAATTTCATTACACAACAACACGTGAGAGGCCCACTTGCCTCTCCTCCAAGCCCTGATCCGAATGTGTGTCTGCAGGCGGGGCCTCAGCACAATCCACCTTTCCAAATCAGGGTCTGGCCCAGGTCCCTGGACAGAGATGCGCCTTGACACTGGCACCAGGAGAGGCTGCTGACCAATCACTCCGTTGAGCAGATGCCAAAAATCGGGTCTGAGCCTTGTGGCATCCCCATGGCTCCTATGGCATCCGTGGCTTTGCATAGGCCCCAAGGCCCTCCAGAGGCCCAGCTTCTGTATTTGGCTGTCTGATTCCACCAGCTTCACTGGGACGACCCAGCCACGTGGCTTTGGGGCCAACACCATGGCCCGTG